CCATACTCACAGGGACCTGCAGGGAGCCACAGGTAATGATGTGGGGACTGTCAGAGGTGCTTCCTGGAGGGAAAGATCCACTGGAGTGTGCCCCTTTAGTGTGTCCTAACTGGGCTGTTTTCTGGATGTAGCCATGTTCTCTGCCTTTCATTCCCCGATTCTTGACTTTTTTCTGACAGCATAGCCAGCCATCATGTCACCTTCAAGAGTGTTGGCATCTGTCCCCATGATAGGTTTTATGCTTGTCAACCACCTTCAGTTTCCCTTGTTTTGAAGGACTCTGCGTTTGGCAATGTGGAACACCACCCTCCCACTGCTTCAGTGGTGAGGTGCCGTGGCCTGTGTGCACAGGACTCCCTTCTCCTTTTTCTATCTCTTCTCTCCTTCTCATTGCTTTCCACGCTGGCTTAGATGACGATGACTCCGAAATCTCTCTCCAGTCCTGACCTCTTTCCTGAACCCAGATTGGTGGGTCCAATTGCCTATTTGGAAGTTTCTACTTTACATTCTTGTATAGATGGACTTCTTGAATGTCACATGTCCAAGCAAATCTCTTCTTCCCTCAGACTTCATCTACTTAGGCCAGAAATCTTTGACTCCTCCATGCTTTTTCTTCCATGCTGCATATCCAGCTCTGTTGTAAATTCTGTGAAAGCATATCTAAAAATCTGACTGCTTCTCAACATCTTCACTGCTGGTCTGAACCAGAGTTGTTTCTCACCTAGATTATTTCTATAGCCTCCCCAAAGTTGTTATTAAATATTGCCTTAAAATAAGCTTATCGTCTTTAGATATTTATCTCTTCCATTTTCCATCCAGTTCTAGCCTTTTTTCTCCCTCTCTCCCCCCAATTTTTAAGAGACTCTTTAAAAAAGTTTTGAAGCTATAGACAGTGGTGCAAACCTGCAATTCCAGTGAATTGGGAGGCTGAAGCAGGAGAATTGCAAGTTCAAGGCCAGCCTCAGCAACTTAGCAAGTCTCTAAGCAACTTAGTGAGACCCTGTCTCAAAAAAAAAAAAAAAAAGAGCAATAATTTTAGATTCATGGAAAAACCACAGGATAGTTTGCCTAATGTTAACACCTTACATAGCCTTAATATATTTATCAAAACTATGAAATTAACATCGGCACATGACTGAAGAATTCACTATAGACTTTTCTGACCAGGTGTTCCTCTGATGTTCTTTTTCTGATCCAGAATCCAATCCAGGATACAGCATTGCATTTAGTTTTCTTATCTCCATAGAGTCCTTTGGTCTGTGTCTGTTTTCTCATTTTTGCTTTTTTTCTTCACACCCTTCACTGTTTTAGGGGTACTGGTTGGATATTTTGTAGATGACCCTCCACTGGGGTTTGCCTGATGCTTTTTTATGGTTAGAATGGAGTTATGGGGTTTTAGGGAGAATAGTTCAGGATGAAATGTCTTCTCATCGTATATCAAGGTGTACCTGGTGTCAGCCTGACAGCTATGGTGATGCTAATGTAATCACCTGGTCCAGGTAGTGTCTGCAGTGTCTCTGCCATGATGTTGTTATTGTTCCCTTTCCATACTCTGTTCTATGGAGGTAAGTCACTAAGTCCCTTGTTACTCCCAGGGCGTAAAGAATGAAGCTTCATCATTGGAAGGGGGGGACTTATGTACATATACTATTTGGACTCCTGCAATTCTTTATCTTTTAAAGCATACAAAGTTTAAAAAAAATGATATTCTCTAAACACTTGTGGCATTTATGTGTAAAATAATAATACATGTTGTTTTATTTGTATATGTATAGCTGTTAAATACATATAGTATTTTTAAATGTCCACTGTGAAAATGACTTGGAAATATAAAACTTTATAGTTTTTCTCTGCTGTCTTCATGAATGAAACAAAAATATTTCTTAAGGATGGCTAAGGAAAGGATCAGAATCATTTGGTTCCTCTTGTCATCTTGGACCCTCTGTGAATTCTCTTCCTGGATTTCCGGAAACCTTTGGTTTGCTTTTATATATATATATATATTTTTAGGCAGGGTCTTTCTCTTGTTGCCAGGATGGCTTTGAATTCCTGGGGTCAAGAGGTCCTTCTGCCTCATCTCCCCTGTGCTGGGACACAGGTGTATGCCAACATGCCCATCTGTCCTCAGTCAGGGGAACTCTAGAAAACCCCAGAATTCTCAGACAACGTTGATTTTACTTCACTTTTATTTTCAATGTAAATATTTGTTAACAGTTTTAGAAAGAAGGCAAAGGAAATACTATTAGGCGAATAATGATTAACAGTAACTCTCGAAAACACTAAAAGTCAGTGAGTAATCAATATCAGTGAAAATAACTTAAAAAATTTTAATCTTAAATGTTAAGAATGTATTTAATCTAGTGATAACTAATAATTAGCATATTGATTGGTTCAGATAAATTCTTCTTGTCCCTTTTTCCCTCACTTTTCTTCTCACCTTCAATTCTTGCCTGATACTAAATTCTGAATACATGTTCCACACAATCCAAACGCAAGCTTGAGTTTATGACTTGGACTCATATCACATGTCTTATCTAATTATCCAAGTATGTGTTAGTGACTTTATCCTGACATTACGAAAATAAAATGAGGACACATACACAGAGTACTGTAGGGGTTTGGCAGTAAAGTGCCTTGGTGCTGTTCATTTATGTCTGACCAGTGCAGATTTATCAGCATGCAGTCTCCATACATTAGGGCAGTCACTGCTCCCTGCTCAGCCTGTGATTGCTTAGCCCCCCTGGTATTTGCAGACTTTCGCAGCTACTGTTCACAAGGTCTTGGCCACGGCACATTCATTTCTCTCACTTTATTACCATCACATCTGATTCCAATTTGCTACCAAATTGAGTTTCCAGTCCTGAGCCTGACATTCGAGCCGTCAGGTGGATTAGCTCCTTCAGCTTGGTTAGTGTGGTGGCTTCAGGTCAGTTGACACTGGCCTATTAAATGTCCTCTGCTCCTCATCTTGGAATCTAGGCTGCCGTCCCGGGGAGGAGCAGGGCTAGGTTACCCACTGTAACCTTTCTCCTTGTTTAGAACTCATAATTCTAGAACTACTGGAAAGACTTCTGATTAAAAACAGAGTTGGTTTTTATCCGTTATCTTGCAGTTTCAGCAGCTTTTTTCTTAGAGCAAAACAGACAGTTTATGGTCGGGTCATTTGAGGGGATTTGATTGAGTGAACTACTTGAGTCATTCATTTGACCCTGTCTCTCTTAGATCTTCCTAGTGATCTATTTGCATAGATAGTTGAAGTCCCATCTGATTTATCATTTTTTTTCTTATTAATGATAATACTTCTGATGTCTTCTGTGCTGCTGTCAGATCATCTTATTGGATAGAGCAGTATTACCCTTTTGGACTCTATGCCTTTTGCTATGTAGCAGCTCTCAGTTCCTTTTTAAACGAAACAATATGGTGAGGAATTCCTTCTAGGGAGTTCTCTTTTTTCAACCTGAATGCAAAACCAATTTCTAGTGACAGGCATAACCAAAGATACACATGTAAAAAATAACTCATTGGTTTTCGGTTTGCATTTCAGCTCCCAAAGAATACTGTCCTGGTCAGAAACTTTCCTCTTGTCATTAGGGCTTTGAGTAAATGCAGGTATATTTAGGTTTCAGAATCAAAGTGCCAGGGTCAGCACATACTATAATTTTTTTGTGACTAATTCAAGGATTCAAGAAAAAAAGAAAAACCAAACAAGAAGAGCAAAAACTAAAACATCCTTCAACCCTGCAACCCTTGAAAAGAAATTCTGAGCTAATTATTGATTGTTCTTTCTATTACTAAGCAGTGATGCAATTATCATAACTTGACTTGGAAACGCGTTTGCTGATAAATAGGGAGGGCATCCTCTGCTTTGGTTGACTCTGATCAGATACTCTAAAGGCCACTCTGCAAGATGAGCTGGAGTAAATTTCAGTTTTTAGAAATGATACCAAGGCTGCTGTCTGCAGCAAACATTTCAACATCCAATAAGATAAGGGACAGGAAAGGAGAGTTTGAAGTTAGGAGGGAAACATCTTTCAAATGATAATGCTCACCCTGGGAGGCAAAAAATAAATGACATTTATGGGAAAGAATAACCCAATTTGGTCAAATCTTTGGGATTTGTAGGATACTTCATTTCATGTTCAAGTAGCCACATGACCATTGTTTCCTGTTCTTTAATTAGGGTCAATATGTAATTGTTGGGTAGGAGTTTTTCTGAATCCCTGTTGATTTCTTTTTTTGGTGAACTTGTTTGCTATGTTTGTTGGTTGGCTGGGTGGTTTGTTGTTGTTGTTTGGTTGGTTCTTTTCCAAAGCTCTGTGGTTAGGTAGATAATGATCTTAATTTGAGATAAGTGTGAGAACCTCCTTTTCAAACTCTGAAACCTTCTGATAATTGTTGTGGCCATCTGGTTACATTTTAGAGGTTCATTAACCTACTTTTAAATATCTTAAGCAATAAATTACATTCATTGTGAGAAATAATACCAGAAGGAATCCTTTGACACCATCTTTTATTTTAAATAATGAAGTAAAATATTTGGTAAGCATCCTATTTTACATGAATTTGTTTCTTTTGAGGACAAGGTAGTCTGATTTCATTGCCCTTTTCATTTCACCTTTGATTTAATTGTAATCTTTCAAAATTTCTCCTACTACTTTTATCTATTTTTCCTGTTCAGAGAAGTCCTTTTGTTCTTCAGATTTTCCTTATGCTCAATTACAGGGCCATGCTACTCAATTTAGTATTTTACTCTAGGAGAATTGATGTTTTTTGCCCTCCAGAACTCAGTTAAGCTGTGTTTATACCTTAAACACAGTGTGTAAAGAGAACAGTGTAAGGAGGGCTTCAGTATGCAATTATGGCATCAAAATCTTTTCAGTGTAGAGAACGCCAAATCCAGTATAATGAAGGATGGTACATTTTATGTTTGTCTGGTTAAGATCCTGGTAGTCTAAGGTTAATATAACATCTTCTATATGTGTTTTTCTTTTCTTTTGCAGAAGGAGCTGAGTCTTCCCCGAAGAGGAAGTCTGTAAGTAGTAGTTTTGTTTCCTTGTTTTCTTTCTGCATAATTTGTCACATGTTTGTTCTCTGACTTTGTTAGACTTCAGTGGCAATTAGAAGATTAATGATAATCAACTGAGTTAAGAAAACAAAAACATGTAATTCATTTATAAAAGTCAAATAGTAATGATTTCACTGTAATTTCCAGATTTTTTTTCTTTTGGTATTATAAAACAAAATGTACATTTATTTTGGGAAGATCTTACTTTTGAAAAAAATTCCATTGTACGACAGATAGTAGAAATTGATCTCAGAAATTAGTGCTCATCTGTGTGTTCTGGAAGTCTGTGATCATTTCTTATACACTTTATTTTATGCAGTTAGTTGTGTACTTTTGCATGTGAATTGATAAAGACATTGAGTCTGCTGAACTTTACTCTTAGATCTAGATCTTATTGAACTGATTCATGAAGTATTCTTGTATTAAAACAGAAGATTTATGAACCTTGACTTGGTTTCTTTATAAAGTGTCTCAACCCTTCATTTTTTAAGGCAAATAATATATTTGCATAAATCATAGCTTTTTCATTAGCAATTTGCTGAATGGAATTAATTGCATTTAATATGCTACTGTGTTCAGGGTAGATTTGTTATTAACTAGTACTTACATAAGAACTGATCTAGAAGTATTTAGATTTGCTCTCTAGTTTATATTGAAGAAGTTAGTGGAAGGGCAATTTCTTTTTTAAAAAATAGTGTAATCTTTAATATAAAATTTCACAAATCTTTCTGTGGAAGATTAGAAAAATATATGGTGACTGTTGAGATAAATTGAAAGGTAGGATTCATCCTTTCTCCTAAATTTTGGAAATATTTAGCCTTTGTATCTTGGAACCCAAACCTCATGAGCTGTGAACACTGTATTACAATTTTTCTCCTCCTCCTCCGCCCCCTTATCCTCCTCCTCCTTTCTAAGTTTAAGCTTCCAGGTGGACACTGGATAATTATTCTTGGAAATTTTGCTTAGACAGATTGTCATTAGCTTCCAGCTTCCACTTCTCTGTACTATAGGACAATGGCCAAATAGGTTGCATTAGGAAATGCCCTTAGAATTAAACACTTTTCTCTTTTGTATCATTATTAGGACTCTTTCCTCAACTTGCAAGAGTTCAAACTTTTGATGTTTCCCATCATAATGATAAATCACAAATAAGAAAAAATAGACTAAAACTACATGAACTATCTTTATAGGAAAAAATCTTAATTTGTTTATACTTTTATTTAGGGCTTCAACACCTTAGATTTTTCTTCTATGCCAAATTTCAAAACTTTAGAACTTCAGACAAATTTTGCTAGCCTTTATAATAGATTGTGCTTAGTTCTATTAATAACTTTCCAATATTTTTAATTTTTTTTTTAACATTTACTTTTTAGTTATAGGTGGACACAATATATTTTATTTTTATGTGGTGCTGAGGATCGAACCCAGTGTCTCACACATGGTAGGCAAACACTCTACCTCTGAGCCATAATCTCAGCCCAATAACTTTCCAAAAATTTTTAGAAAGATCGTAGTATTTAGCAAATTGAATTCCTTATATCTATTTAGAGCCATTTCTTGTTTTGCAGTTGCGTTAGTCTTAATTCTGTTAATATTAACTGATAGCCAAGAGTTGATTTGAAAATTTACAACAAAAAAGAAGATATTTAAATTTCTCTACTTGAGAATGGAATCTTTAATGAAAAAAAAGATAATGAGTGAAGTTTGTTGAAAGCCTATGCTTTAAGTACATAATAAGGGAAAGAATTGTGTGCCATTTAAAATCCCCTCCCCAATAATTACCAATTGACTATTCAGAGGACAGAATAAAACCACAGTGTATATGTCAAACTAAAGCTATCTTTTCCAGTAAGTTTTGTGAAAATACTTCCCAGTGAAGGAACTCCACAGTAAACATGCTATTTTGTATTTTCTATTGAATATAAATATTCTCCCCCAAATTAATGATGCCTTATATAGCTTTTTTTTTTTCTGGAGCCCAAGGCCACTAGATGTTTTCAATGAACCCCACAGTGTCAGGAGTCATTCTTCCCATGCAAGGTTCTTTTAGGACTTTGAGAAAAAAAAATAGTTCTTAAAATAATTTTAGGAGTGATTTTAATGCAAATCCAATGAAGAAGGGTATAAGTGTATCTTTATCAGGTAACAGTATTAACCAACATCATGGTACCTGGTTATAAGTCCCTTTAACACTTTCTCAGCTTATTTACTGCCCAAATGCCTCCTGCATGAATAATTTCAAAATCTTTCTATGCCTTCTCCCAGAAGGTGTTTTGGGGCTGCTGTTCTGTTGAGTCATGTTTAGCAATGAGCAACATCACAGTATAGTACAGCCCTCATTTTTTTTTAGTTACATGGTGATGTGATTGAACTTGTCAGAGGGTGTGTCCCTGCAGAGAGGCTGTGCTTTTCAAAGGAGGTACCTTGTTTTGGTGATCTGCTTCCAATTTGTGTGTCTTGAAGGGTTGATATTTTTAAATAGCATTTGCATCATTACATAATTTACAAGGTCTGTTAGATTTGTTGAAAACATTTGAGTATTGTTTAGCATACACTTAAAGATCATTTTTATGTCCACAATGATAGATAAACATATACTTAAAGCTTTCACAAATAAAAGAACACAGAAAATATGCTTTTTATTATTGCTTAAAAGTATGAAAAAGCAACTTATAATCTGTCTAGAAAAATATAATCCAGATTCTTCCTAATTTTCAATTTACAGTCATTTTGAACGAAATAACTTGAAGGCTCTCTTGTCTTACATACATGTGAAAAGGTGGCAAAGGCAATTATTGCAACCTCCTTTTTTTAATAGTAAAAGAAAGTAATGAAAAAGAAAATTCAAGGGAACTGCTTTCAGGCCTGGTATGGCAAGTGACTTCAGATCAGTTTTCCCAGGCTTTCCAATCCTCTCTCTCTTTGGGCAACAGACTTTAACTCTGCCCCAACGATCCTAGATTTTTTTGCTTTACTTTTTCCATTCAAAGAATTTCTCTTCACCACAGCTTTACACACACACACACACACACACACACACACACACACACACACACATACATTTTAGTTGTAGTTGGACACAATACCTTTATTTTATTTATTTTTTATGTGGTGCTGAGGATTGAGCCCAGGGCCTCGCGCATGTTACGTGAGCATTCTTCTGCTGAGTCAAAACCCCAGCCCTCACCAACGCTTTTGATCCCATATTCTTCCAGCATTTTTCCTCTCATTCTTCTTGGAACTAAAGTTATCACACTCTTTGCCTCCTCTCCTCCCAGAAACCTGTCAAAATCATGATAGCGCTATTCAAAGAAGTACTATACTACAGGTAAAAGGATTGTAGTGTCTGTATCAACAGATATGATTATCAAAAAACACAATGAAAATTCCACAGGCAAGAGAGCATTAGCATTGTAAAATTTAAAAAGATGCAGAAAAAATAACATTTACTATAAATGTTATTTCTAAGAACATTTATAGTAAAAGTATAAAAACATGCATGGAAAGCAAGTTTATAATAAAGGTTATTTACTAGTGCAGAAAAGGACTGAAAAGGGAGTTGAGTGGCTCTACAGGGAGTTTTATGTATCATTGAAGTAATTGTGTGCACATGTGGTATTTGTATTTTTTATATTTTACCCTCTTTGTTTTTGTATTGAAATGTTTTACATAAACTACTCAGTGATTTTATAAAAGTAGAATTCAAGCTGTTTTAGCCAAGTATTTACACAGATTTAAAAATTGATTTGAAGAAAAATTATATAAAAAATCTGCTTTGAATAAGAGAATATACCAAACCTGCATTTTGTTTCCTGAGGGTTTTTGGTTTGCTTTTGTCTCTTGCTGAACATCGGCCCCAACGAGTGCAATTTTATAACAATTGGAAGATTTGGTGCAGTAGCCACCTATTGGTTAATGGCAAAACATCACAGGAAAAAAAATATAAGGATAAATTCTGGTACTCTTGAAATGCCTCATTATAATACTAACTACAGGTAGGGGAGGGGAGGCAATTGAGATAACTGCATATGTAATCATATAACATTTAGCTTCTGAACTGGATTTGTTGCTCTGGATTTTTAGCCTGACTTTGACTGTGCTTTTGTACTCAGCAAGGAACCCAGTATGTAACTTACCCTGTGTGGCTGTTTGTGTAATGGACACAAGACTGTATCTCCCACCAGATGGGGAGCCTGGAGCAGTGATGGTGCTGTGCTTCTTCTGTCTAGCCTGCCCCTAAGCCTGCTCTGTGAAGAGAGACCGTGATTCTATGGCTGTTTGGCAGATGCCAGGTTCTTTGTGGTTTATATTCAGTGCGGGACACAGAAACACCCTTCACATGATTTTGATGTTGTCAATAACTAATCTGAACAGACTGTTTATATAAAAGTGTATTAGTATCGTGGGTCTTTTATTGAGGTTTTTCCCATATTTAGAACTTAGTCCTCAAATGACATTTCTAAGTGGAAAACTCTCTGGGAAGAGTTTTCGTTTAGGCAGAAAGGGAAAAAAAGAGTGGAAAAATGAAAAAAAAGCCCAAGATATGACCTAATGGATGGCTAGAAACAAAACCAAGGTGTCCCTGGCAGCAGCTGCTTATTTTTAAAGGACTCCTTTGTGTTCTGTTAATTGCCCAAATAAACAGCTCTCCAGGACAGAGACTGCTTCTTCTTCTTTTTTGAATTCCCTAGAGTTTCTTGGTAGCTTTTATACCCCAGAGAGAGGAGCAGGAAATTGGTTATGCTAGCTCCCTCCTCTCCTCCCATACTGCTTTTTAATGGTCTTACAGATTTCTCTACACAGAGAAGAAGGAAATTGTACTGTCTATTCTTAGCAATAGATTCTCCCTGTACTTAAAATGGTATTTCTTCTACCTTGTTTAATTATGAGCCTCAGTGCATTGTTTCTAGGTCTGTGATCTATAAAAGTTTCTGCGATTATTCATTTCTTTTAGCGGAAGCAATGAT